ACTACTATGACTCAAATCTTCATTCTGTGATGTGTGTGTCTAGACAAGTTTAGGCAAACAGCAAAAGGTGAGAGGTCCCACCACCAAGCCTACATTTCAAAAAAAGGCACAAAGCTAACTCCATTCTCCACCTAGCAGTTCAGTCTGAGCTGCCGAAATTTAGTCCAATTAGTTCTTCAACTCCAAATAATGTGGGCTCCTTAGGGCCATGACAGCTGTCCCTCGACCACAGTCCTCCCTGTGGTCCCTTCAGTTGGCTCGGGCAACTCTGGTGTTGGAGCCATGGAAGCTCAACATGGTTGTCACCAACTCTGGAAGGTCAAAATTGTGTTTCCATCCCCAATCCTTCCGGGCATTGCTGTCGTCAAAGCTCATCGGCCAACTATCCGCTGGGAAAAGACACAGAAGAGCAGCCTAAGTTATTCAGGCTCCAGATCTGCAAAAAGGTCTAGAACATTTTATATAAAGGTCAATCACACAAGGCACAAAAAAGGAAATTCGTTCCTTTAAAGCAGAATGGCTACTATGTGCACACCTGGTCCCCTTCATTGGTTGGAATACTGTGTTGCATGTTCTCTGTCAGGCACTCATTCAGGCTCCAGATCTGCAAAAAGGTCTAGAACATTTTATATAAAGGTCAATCACACAAGGTACAAAAAAGGAAATTCGTTCCTTTAAAGCAGAATGGCTACTATGTGCACACCTGGTCCCCTTCACTGGTTGGAATACTGTGTTGCATGTTCTCTGTCAGGCACTGTGAGTTCTCACACGTTACTAAAATCTCAGTTTTGTAAGGAAGGAATCTGATATTTGAAAAGGTGCTCTAGCCCCTAAGTGGTGCAGTTACTGTGTTTGAAAACGCAGTGCCGTTTCTGTGCCACCTTACCTGCTCCCGTTTTCCCTTGCTTTGTGATTAAACTGCAACACTGGTGGAATGCTGACAAGACGTGCTTTTGGAATAGAAGCATTTTATCCACTTCTAGGTATCATTTCCCAAAATTGAAGCATCTGCTGGCTTTAGCTCAACAGCAACTCCTTTTCCAGAATGTGTCCAGACCCTCAGGAAGGAGCCGTGCTCTCCTCACCCTCTAAAGTTTATGTCCTCAAGGGACTCACAGTGAAGACCAATTCTTAGTGTGGCTTTGAGAGACTCTGCCTGCCACGAGGTACCAACCTATGGCCTGTCGAACAGAATCCACGTTGTATGTGATCTGGAATCCCGGCACGTGCTTGACAACTTCCTGGGCCAGCTCCTCAGGGGTGAAGCTCATGGCGTTGACATTATACGTCCTCATGGACAGAGACTCCGCAGGGGCCTCCATCACCTCCAGGGTGGCCCTGAGGCAGTCATCGATGTACATCATCGGAAGCCGCGTGCCAGCTCTCAGGGTGCACTCGAACCTGCCATTCCTGGCTGCATCGTGGAAAATCTGGATGGCATAGTCTGAAAGACAGTCCTATCTGTGAGTTTTCTCGTAACAAAGTAACGAACAGACCTTTTGGATCAAGGCTGTGGTTCTCAAATGTTTTAGTCTCAGAACCTCTTCAGATTTAAGAATTGAGGACTCCAAAAGAGATCTGATCAATGTAGGTTATGTCAACATTTACTGTGTTACAGTTAACTGAGAATTAAAAATATGACTACATTTTTAAATAATAATAAACCTATCACGTGTTAATATGTATGATATTTTATAATAAAAAGAACACAGTTTAACAAACAAAGAAAATTTACTGAGAAGAATGGCTTGCTGTATATTTTGAGAACCTCTTTGGTGTCTGGCTTAATAGCAGAAGGCTGTGGCCTCGCTTTTGCTTCTGGTGAGTCTGTTCTGATGTCACACGCCACGTCACCTCTGGAATACTCCACAACGCACTTGTGAAAAGAGCCAATAACATCTCAATATTGACATGAAAATTGTTTTGACCTCCTGGGCCCCTTGAAAGGGTCTTAAGGATGCCAAGGGGATCCCTGACCATACCAGGAGAAGCACCATATTAAGAAAGCGGCTTTTTAAAAGTAACCAAAACCAAACTCTCTTTTAAAATCCCTCAGATTTTGTCAAGTATTTTTTATATTCTATCTCTGGACTGCTGATACGGGAAGGATCCCTGATGTGGGAGTTACTGAATACAGTGCATGTTTGAGTCCAAAATTATAATATAATGATAGTACTGACGTTCTTTTCAAATATGCAATGCACAGAGTCTAATTTAATAGAGCTCTCTGTCTATATTAAGAAACAAAGGCTATATTCAAAGAGACTGCTGCTTATTGGGGTTCTTCCTATGTTGTAATAAATTTGTTCTTGAATATTATCTGTTTTAGTCCAGCACTGTGGGTGGCCAGTCCTGAGCTGGACTGACAACACTGCCCTTTACAAGCGTAAGTCAACAGGGTTCAGTGCACTTCTCAGATGCACACTGGGGAGAGGAGACAGAAACTCCACTCGGCACATTGCTGAAAAGACCACGAAGACGACTCACCACAAGGTAATTCATTCGCCACAGAGAAAACTCTTCCTAGCACTGAGAAAGCCTAACACACACAAAAGAAACAGAAACTGCACTTACCAGTCGTTCCTCCTCCGGGTTGGGAGTCAGCTGAAATGATTCCCGGATATCTCAGGCATCGGAAATCTAACCCATACCGGTAATAATAATACTAGGAAAAAGACAAAATTTACTCAAAAAATAATCTTTTAAATCAGAGAGAACAATGCAAAGAAATAACAACCTTCTCCCAAAATATCACTCCATGCAGTTATGCTAAAGGACTCCTGAAGAAAACGAAGTCTTCAGAGTTTCCAAGAGTCACAGCTTGAGGTTTTATCTTCAAAGAATCACGATTTGGGTGATCCGTCAACACTGTAAATTATAAACCAGCCTACGTCCTCTTTGGAAAGGAGCCACTGCTCACTGTCCTACAGGCTCTGCGTGGGCACGTTCTGCACCGCACAGCCTTGGGAAGTCCAGGGGAGGGCTGTGGGTGAGGGCACCGACCATGACACTCCAGTGAAGGACTGGACGCCGCAAGAGCAAAGACGGAGTGTATAAAAAATAAAACCAAAAAGATGTTTGAAGTTTTCCATAATAAAACGTGTTAAAGTTACCACCAATAACTACCAATGTCAGGAGTCTGAAAGAACAGTGCAGTAGAAATTAGAGAGGAGTGAGTGCAGGGGAGCCTGCGCGGCGTCTGGGGAGTGCTGAGAGTTATCCCAGCTGCGGAAAGGGGGCCACGCCACGCCGAGGAGTTTGTCAGGAGCTAGACACCTGCCACTTGGCCAACAGGGTAAGCGAAGAGAGCACCTCTGGGGGTTGGGATGGGAGAGAGGAAAAGTTCCTCCAGGGATGAGTCAGCAGATGTTTGAGAACGGGAAAGGAAACACAGAGTCCTTTTGCTCTGGGTACGGGCAGCAATCTCGCTGAGTGGTGCTTACTTCTCCCATGAGCTCCGCATGGACCTTAGATACCCCATAGATGGTTCTAGGTCTCTGAATACAGAGATCAGGGGTTGGGTTCCGGGGAGAGGTAGGTCCAAAAGCCCCGATGGTGCTCGGCACAAACAGTCGCACGTTGTGTTCTGCTGCAACGTCCAGGATGTTATGCAACCCTGAAATGAACAGACGCTGTTATCACAATCCGAAAAATCTCTTCTTACCAAAGAACTGGAGAAACCGACAAACTGATCACACTGGGCCAGAGCCAGCTGCCTACCCGTTATATTCACAGCCCTCGCCAAGGGCACGTTTGCTTCCCCGACCGCGCTGAGCAGAGCGCTGTAGTGAAACAGCCAGGTGACGCGGTTGTTCACCACGACCTCGCGGAGACTCTTGTCATCCAGTATGTCAGAATAAATAAATGGGCCTAGAAGAAACACACGGTGAAACCACAGAAGTGCAAAAAGCTTAGGGTTTGAAGAACTAAAGGGGCCTTTCTCCCTTCCCCCACTGACTTGTGCATTTCATTGGTAACAGTTTGGGAACTAGGCAGGTTGGACACCACGCAGCCTATTTCTCATGGAAGGAAAACAAGCCACGGCCACCCCATAGGTAACAAACAACAACGCTTCTACAGCACCTGTACATGCAGGCACTGTTCTAAGGGCTTTAAATATATTTCACTCTCACACAACCTGGAGGTAGATACAAAGTACTGATGAGGAACGGAGACACAGAGAGGTTATGGAACTTGCCAGGATTAAACAGAACAAGTAGAAGACCTGGGGTCACAACCAGACATCTGCCTCCAGAGTCAATGCTGTCAATGACAACCCTGCACGTGCAGTGATTCCACTCTGCTTAAAAATTGCATTTGAGGTCCACATCCAGCTCAGCAAGACCCAGCAGCAGCCGGAAGCCCCTGGGGCTCCTGAGCTGGGGTGGAGTTGGGGGGTGCCAAGGACCTTAGACCCCCTTCCCCACCAGCATGCCACCATGCCAGTGAAAGAGCCGGCCCCGCCCCCTTTCTCCTCCTCGCCCGCTCAGAAACATCTTAGCATGTAAATAATAATAATAATAAATATAAACAACATATATCTATGTAAAAGAAAAAACATTCTATTTTAAGGAAAAGAGAAGTTGGTTTATTTAGAAAATAAAAGGAACTTTTGAAAGGAATAAGAAATGGGTTTACTTAGGGAAAAAAAGATGCCTTGCTATAGAAGAACCACAAATCATGACTTTATCAAATTAAATTACGTTAGCAGTAGAGACTTTGCTCAATGCCAGTTTTCCCCACTTACTGTAAATTGTGTCTCTTCCCCACAGTAAGCAGAAGAAGGCTGGCACTGAACTAGGAAGGACTAGGACACACTACAAAAACATTTGTGAGGCAGCAGAAAACTCAACTGGAGGAGTTTGAGATTTTTTGCGTGTGCAGTAGTTTAAGAGCAACTCTACATTGTGACATCAGGCCAAATGTCTCCAAAATTTTAGTTCCTCATTACAAAACTTGACTTTTGTTTGTGTTCTCCCTGAACCAATAAGTTAACTAAAAACTCAAAAAGCCAGGAATCAATGTTTTTATTCCAAAGACGTTATTCCAATATCAGAAGATATTATTCCAAAACTTTACTTCAAGTTCAGAAGAGCTCTCCTGCTCTTGGTCCACTTGAACAAGCAGCAGCATTAAAACATAAGGAATATTTTCAAATGGTGTAATTGTGCCTCGATAACCTCTTCTCTGACTCACAAACCTGGTTATGTGCTGGCGAATATACCAGTTCCACGAGCCACCTCTCACACCTGCACTCTGAAAATTAAAGGTAAAAACAAAAGCAAGACCGTCGACCTCTTACCACCATCAAAGACATGATCAGGCGGTTTCCTTATGTCGGACAAGATCACATTGTCCTTCCCAAATCGTTTCCTGAAGGGAAAATCAAAATACGCAAGTTGGCAACTTCTCAGATGTAAGAGGTTTGACGAAAACTGTCATTTCCTCTCAGCCTCCAAATCCTCCTTCCTGTCCATCCTCCGCACACGCCTTTGGTTCCTCTCCCACACTCGGGTCTCTTGCCCTACCCACAGCCCCGGCTTCTGTTTCTACTCTCCCCCACTGTCAACCCTATTTTGTCCCCAATTTCTTCCCGGTACCCCTGGAGTTTTTACCTCTCCCTCCTCATTCTTCTCCCCCCTCCTATCCTTTTCTCCCACCCCCTCCATATCCCACACTGTTCCCCTCCAGTTTCTACAGGTGCTTCCCACTGCCCCCAAACAACTGAAAGGCAGGTGATTCATTTGGAGTTATGTGTCTCACTTTGCCCAAGTTAGGAAAGAGAGGGAGCAAGAGGCCAGCGTGGGGACATCAAGGCAAGGGCCTGCAATAAGCCCGTGACAGTAGGAGGAAAAATGAAATGATTTCATTTTAAACAGCCGTTTATACATATGTTAAAATGGCAAGGGGCAGGAGGAGAAGAGAGAGGAAAGCCGGCTAAGTGGTGCTGAAGACAAGCTTCCCACATGTAGGAACTTAGACTTTAAGTTTCACGTTTTCAGGGCTCTTACCTCAAAAGGTTAGCAAGCCCCACTCCCAGCTGGCCAAGACCCCCTAAATGAAGAAGAAAATAAGTGAAACTGTAATCCAGATCTAACCAGTTCAACTATTCCCAGAATGCAATAACCAAATGAGACTATTTCTCAATCTTAGCTAATTAGATAAAGTCCAGGTTGAACTGATATATTTGCTGCTCACTTGTCCTCTTCTCAGCAACACGTGCAGCACTTAGAACACAACACGACCCCCTCCCAGGACAGGCTAGAGATCAACACAGGCAATGTTAGTTCCAGAGACAAAACTCTGCGCAGCACGGAGGGGCTGAAGAAGAGAGAAGAAAGGACACGAGGGAGAGAAAAATCACGTGAAAGCCAGACGTGGGTACAGAACTTCCTGGGGTAGGAATTCACTCCTGGCCTTCATTATTCTGGTGGGCTCTGAGTTTGTCTGCTACAAGTTCCAAGAACATTCAAAACCAAATACAAATGGTTTGATAGCAACCTCTGGTGGGGTTCCAGAATCCCATACTGTGGAATATACTAAAAAGCATATGTACTTCACAGGGCCTGGTTTTCCAAAGCCTTGCAGTTTCAAATATTGACCTTGCGGAGGACTGGAAATTTCCCTCAGGCTATAAGTCTCTGTTGCAAGATAAGGACTGTGGCACAGCAGGTTGCTGGCTCAAAACCAGACTAGTTACTGATTGTTATGTAAAGATACTGAGAAAAGGCTGTTAAGAAGGAATGTTTGCTAAGATCAAACTGTTGTTGATAGGACCACTTAATTGCCTTACTGGAATGTCATCTGGCTTGTTTCACTGAAAGTTACCAGCCTATATTGTTAAACTATAACCCCCCCCCCTTGTTCTCTTCCTACTTCCTGGTCTGAAAACCCCACCTATGTCTCTTCCTGTAACTTCCTGGTCTGGAAAATAAATGCAGGAAGAGAACCCCAATTTGGCGTTAATTTCCCAAATGGAAGGGTTGGCTCTCGCTTGAGCATTCCCAGGAAGATTAACCACTTTGGGGCCTCTCACTGCTCAGTAGAGATGGGCTTTGAGTAATCCTTTGCATCTCCGTCAGCCAGGGGAAGTGGGGTGACAAATCCGTGGGGGCAAAGCAACACCATCGTCCATTAGGACTGGACTGGGATATGAAAGGGCAGAGAGAGGGACACACCAAGAAGTCATTTGAAAAAAGGGCAGATAACTGAATTGGGAAGGAGCCAGTGAGAAAGCTAAAATGAGTGGTTTAGCTCCCAGAACCAGGTGCTGGGCACATTCTAGGTAAGGAGGATCAGCGAGCCTCCCTGACCAGCGATGAACTCAACGGCAACAACGAGCTGTATGGCGTCAAGGGCGACAAGTTCCTCAGGCAAACACTTACTTACCTTCTCTATTTCCAACACACAAACGTGCAGTAACAGTTTGGGATGAATGACACTGAGTTTAGTCTGAATGGCTTGGCCAAGGAAAGATGTGCCTGACTCCAAAATCAATGTTCTAGTCTAGGCACCCTTCCTATCCATCAGTCTTCACTTCCCAGGCCGATCCTGCCTTGTTCTCTTCCTGGTCTGGAAAATAAATGCAGGAAGAGAACCCCAATTTGGCGTTAATTTCCCAAATGGAAGGGTTGGCTCTCGCTTGAGCATTCCCAGGAAGATTAACCACTTTGGGGCCTCTCACTGCTCAGTAGAGATGGGCTTTGAGTAATCCTTTGCATCTCCGTCAGCCAGGGGAAGTGGGGTGACAAATCCGTGGGGGCAAAGCAACACCATCGTCCATTAGGACTGGACTGGGATATGAAAGGGCAGAGAGAGGGACACACCAAGAAGTCATTTGAAAAAAGGGCAGATAACTGAATTGGGAAGGAGCCAGTGAGAAAGCTAAAATGAGTGGATTAGCCCCCAGAACCAGGTGCTGGGCACATTCTAGGTAAGGAGGATCAGCGAGCCTCCCTGACCAGCGATGAACTCAACAGCAACAACGAGCTGTATGGTGTCAAGGGCGACAAGTTCCTCAGGCAAACACTTACTTACCTTCTCTATTTCCAACGCTGGCCGACTCTGGACTCTTCACGTTCCAGTGTCCTAGTTCAGCAGTGTGGAGGATTCATAATCGAGGTGGTTATTATTCCACACTTACTAGCTAAGTTTCTAATACATAAACTTGGGGGACACAATTCAAGCTTCAATGAGTTTTGGGGGGACACAATTCAATCCACTACATACTGTATCACTGGAGATTGGCAGCACTAGGATTTCTTCCAATGCTTTTTCATCCAAACAAGGCTTTATTGGGTGTTTCTCCAGCCAATGCAATTTGATAACTTATTCTGTTCAAGGCTTCAGTGGCTTTTTCATTTCTAGTTTGAAAAGCTGCAACGAATAACTTTCAGCTTTTAAAGAGCTCATCATATCTATAGTCAAACCATCGAATTCATTTTTCTTCAGAGGACTCTGAATGGTTGGTCTCAAAATTATGCTACTGGCACCAAGACACATAAGGTAAATTACTAACAAGTGTAAAGCTGAGGAACACTTTCCTTATTTCTTACTTAGTTCTGTCCATTTCACTCCCTCCCAGGAGTTAGAACTCAATATGTTCATCAGCATTTAGACATAGATGGTGCAGCTGTGAGTTGAAAAGTCGCCTTCTAATATCCCCCTTCTAAGCCAATTAGCTATCCTTAAATATAAAAACTACAGAAACTAAAAGCCCTTTAATAGAAAACATTACTTGAGTAAAGAAATAAACAAACAGTTCAGTTTCTCCCATTACACTCTCACAATACACTTGTGACACCAGATGTGTGGGGATTTCTCCCCACAAGCAAGCAGTTCTGCAGTGGACACCAGCTAGGTGTCCTCTAATTCAAATCTATTCCAACATTATCTACCTGGAGATAGCGTCAAATCCCACAGGTGGAGGGCTCAGTCCCCAAGACTTCCTCCCCTCTACTTCTGATGCCAATCACAAGCTATGCAAGCAACTGGCTACAAATTGGGGTTCCCACAATACCCTCTTTGGGTTTGATTAATTTGCTAAGTGGCTCACAGAATTCAGGGAAACATGTACTTACCTTTACCGGTTCATTACAAAGCATACTGCAAAGGATAGAGATGAAGAGAAGCATGGGGCAGGTGCAGAAGGATGAGGCACAGAGAGTCTCCAGGCAAAACCCTCCGGGAACCTCCTCGAACCTCCTCATGTTCAGCTATCCAGAAATTCCTCCAACCCTGTGCTCTTGGTTTTTACGGAGGCTTCATTAAGTAGGAATAACTGATTAAATCATTGGCCACTGGTGACCAACTTAACCTTCAGCCCCCCTCCCCTCCCTGCCCGGAGTTTGGGGGATGGGACTGAAAATCCCCAATCTGTCTTTCCAGTGACCAGCCCGAAGCTACCAAGGGCTGCCAGCCATCAGCCAATCATTAGCATACAAAGAGACAGCACTTAGGAGATTCTAAGGATTGTAGGAGTTGTATTGTAAACTGGGAAAGGGGCAGGAATGGGGAGGAAGACCATACATATAACTGAAAATATCACATTGTTACATTCAAAGATAATTTTATATCACTTAAAAATTTAGAAAAGTTTTCAAATCAAGACAACAAAGTGTACTTTTTGTTGTTTTTCCGCATAGGCACAGGAAAACTGGGATTTCAGAGTAATAACAATCATATACAGTGTATATTGACAAAATAAAAAAATAAATAAATAAATAATTTTAAAAAAAAAAAGAAGACATATTGAAAGTGAGGTCACAGAGATAACAGCAGGTTTAAGCGAACATAGATAGTAAATGCACAGTAGAAGTACTGAGAACAGACTGAGCTTATCTCTGAAAATGCACATATTTATGCCCCAAGCCTGCAACCTTAGCAGATTCTAGAAACACAAAAGCACACAAGTACACATTTTGTTAGCCATCAGAGGAAAAGCTCTCCTCAAGTCCTGTAGCCTCTGGAAAACTCTGTACAGTCAGGAGTGGAAGAAAAAAACGGCAAATGACAACTCACTGTTCTTTTAAAAATAGTTTTGACCTCCTAGACCCTACAAAAGGTCTCAGGGACCCACACCCACACCCTCGTTCCCCAGATCACACTCTGAGAACAGCTGTTCTAAAGTAAAATTTGCTTTGCCAAGCTAGTTATTAAATGTATAGAGAAAGACCAAAGAAGATTCTCAGTCCCTCCTTCAGGATCAAGTAATAGTCTATAAACTTTCTCTCCCGCACCTTGTTTACTTAACTGCAAGGGATGAAAAAGAAACAGGTCAACAGACTCTCCTCCACAAACAGTGGAGCCCCTCCCCAACCCGGGCCTCTGTGGGGTGGTCATCATGCAACGTCTTCCGTCGACCAGTAAATGCACTTACCTGTATTAACAGCAGCAGAACTCTGAGGAAGGAGAGGCTTTCAGAAAGGGGCTGACTGAGAGATCCAGGCTCAGAGCTCAGCCGGCATTGGAGATCGATTGCACGTGGGTGGCTGGTTAAGGGGTGGGGTTATATTAAGATCTCTAATTGAGCTGCTCCAAGAATGGGCTTCCTGGAGCAGCAGGTCAGGTAGGAACACCAGAGAGTTTAGTTTTGGACGCACTGGTTTTAGGTGCCAGGAGCCAATACGTTTGCCTCTTCCAGAAAGCTGGGAGCTCTGCTGAGCATGTCAGTACTCACTGAACGCCGTGGCTGAGAGGCCGGCAGTAAGAAGAGAGCATTAGGGGTTTGTCTTACCAAAAAACAAACAAAAAACAAATGCCCCTGTTCTCAGAAAAAATTACTTCAGTTTCTGGTGGGGGGGGGGGGCATAACTCAATTGCGATCGCTCGGAAGATAGATAATTCTGTTTCAGGAATATTAAAGTTCTATTTGAAATACTGAAGGCCAACAAAACAGGCCTTTTCCCTGAGAATGTACTGTCAGTTTTCCCCAGTGTTCTGCTGTCATGAGACGGCCCCAGATTTCTAGCTCAAATCGTTCTTAGCCACGGAGACAGCAAGTAGAGATGCATCAGGTAACGTCTGAGCACGTTAAGCATGGCATTGAAAGTGTTCAGCCTCCCACAATGAATGGACAATGAAAAGGTGGTCTTGGGCCGGCCCGTGGCGCACTCGGGAGAGTTCGGCGCTGGGAGCACAGCAGCGTCGCTCCAGCTGCGGGTTCGGATCCTATATAGGAATGGCCAGTGCGCTCACTGGCTGAGCACCGGTAACGAAAAAAAAAAAAAAAGAAAGAGAGAGAGAGAGAAAGAAAGAAAGGAAAGAAAGAAAGAAGGAAGGAAGGAAGGAAGGAAGGAAGGAAGGAAGGAAGGAA